GGATGTGACACACAACCGGACACGAACACACAACAGCCACGAGCACAGGCAGGTGCACAACCACACAGAAACAACCCTCACACAACCCTCATATGGGAGTACAGCTGGACACAGACAAACAATGGGACACGGACAAACAACCAGATACAGGAGCTGACACAGGCAAACAACCAGACATAGACAAACAACCATACACAGACAAACACACGCACAGGCCCGCACAGACATGACACGCTCGGACAGACAGACAAACACGTGCACAAACAACCAGACACAGGACTTGACACAAACAATCAGATGCGCACAAACACACAGACGTGCACAGCCCCACACGGACACAACACGCTCGGACAGACGGACAAACAACCGGGTGCGTACAGCCCCACACAAACATGACACACGGACAAACACCCTCACACGCACAGCCCCACACAGACAGGACACGCTTGGACAGACGGACAAACAGACGCACAAACAACTGGACACACACAAACACTCGCACACTCACATCCTCACACGGACAAGACACGCTCAGACAAACGGACAAACAACTGCACACGTACAGCCCCACACGGACACAACACATTTGGACGGACGGACAAACACCCACACAAACAACCGGACACTTACAGCCCCACACAGATGCGACACACTTGGACAGACAGACAGACAAACAGAGGCACAAACAACTGGACACGTACAAACACACGCACACACACAGCCCAACACAGACATGACAACGCTTGGACAGACGGACGGACAAACACCCACACAAACAACCGGACACTTACAGCCCCACACGGATGTGACACGCTCAGACAGACGGACAAACAACGGGACACTCACAGCCCTACACGGACACAACACGCTTGGACAGACAGACAAACAGCCACACAAACAACCGGACACTTACAGCCCCACACTCATGCAACACGCTCGGACAGACGGACGGACGGACAAACACCCAGACACACACAAACAACCCCTGGCACGCGCCCCCCACACCCCCCTCGGGCCCCCCCACCCCAGCACAAACACGCAGCCGCCCCCCCCCCGAACTCCCGCGTCATCCCGGTGTCACCCCGGTGTCACCCCCGGTGTCACCCCTGGTGTCACCCCTGTCACCCCCCCGGGGGGGCAGGGGGTGCCGGGTGACATCTGGGGGGGTCCTGGGCAGGGGAGGGGCTGTTTGGAGTGGGGGGGGGGCACTTTGGGGGGTTCCCAGAGCACTTTGGGGGGGTCCCGGAGCACTTTGGGGGACCCTGGGGACACTTTGGGGGACCCTGGGGACACTTTGAGGTCCTGCCAGGGGTGCTTGGGGAGGGTCTGGGGGGGCTCAGAGGGGCGGGCAGGGGGCGGGGGGGGTTGAGGGGGGTGGGCGTGACCCGGGGCAGTGCGGGGGGGGTGGGGGTGGGCGGGGGTCGCGGTGTCCCCATCCCCCTCCCCCTCCCCTCCCCCATCCCTGGGGGTCGCGCTGCGGTGACAGCGGCGGGAGGGGGGCGGGGGGCGTGGGGAGGGGGCAGGGCAGGGGTTCGGGGGGGTCCCGGCGGCGCTCGGGGGTCCCGGGGGGGGGGCGGGGGTCGTTACCGGGGCCTGTCCCGGGGCCGGGGATGTCGCGGCGGCGGCGGCGGCGGCGGCGGCGGCGGCACAAGATGGAGGCGGCGCGTTGGGCCCCGGGTGGGAGGGAGGGAGGGACCCCCCCGCCCCACGGAGCGGGGACACGGGGGGGACACCGGGGGGGACACCGGGGGGGACACCGGGGGGGGACACGGGGGGGACACCGGGGGATGAGGGGGGACACCGGGGAGGATATGAGTGGGATATGGGGGGGGACACCGGGGGACACGGGGGGACACGAGGGGACATTGGGGGGAGACATTGGGGGGACAAGAGGGGACACCGGGGGGGACACGGGGGGGGGGGGACCAGGGGATGAGGGGGGACACCGGGGGGGACACGGAGGGTGTCGCCTTCTGATACAAGGCGAGGCGACTTGGCTCTGAGGAAACACTGAGGGACATGGGGAGGACAAGACGGGACACCGGGGGGACACGGGGGGACACGGGGGGATAAGGGGAGACATTGGGGGGGGGAGGTGGAAGGACACCGGGGGAATAGGGGGGCACACGAAGGGGACACGGGGAGGGACACGGGGGGACACCCTGGGGGACACGGGGGGACACCGGAGGGATATGGGGGGAGATACGGGGGGGACACGGAGAGAGATACGGGGGGGGGGGACATGGGGGGACACGAGGGGACACGGAAGGACATGGGGGGGACACTGGGGGGAGATGGGGGGGCATTGGGGGTACTCTGGGGGACACTGGGGAGATATGGGGGGGACACACGGGGAACACGAGGGGGACATTGCGGGGGGATATGGGGGGGAAGAAGGGAGGGATAAGTGGGGACACTGGGGGGGACACAGGGGACATTGGGGGGACACTGTGGGGGACAAAGCGGGAGACACAGGGGGGACATTGATGGGGGGATATGGGGGGCACACCGGGGGGACATAGGGGAGAAAAGGGGGGGACACGGACGAACAGGGGAGGCGACATTGTGGGGGGATATGGGGGGGATGAGGGGGAGACACAGGGGGGGACATTTGTGGGACACAAGGGACAAGTGGGGACACTGAGGGGGGGGGACAAGAGGGGACATAGGGGAGGGACAAGGAGGGACACCGGGAGGAGATATGGGGGGACACAGGGGGACATTTGGGGGACACAACTGAGGGGGACAGAACTGGGGGACATTTGGGAACACAACCCCGGGGGGGGGGGGACACAGGCAAGCAGGGGGACATGGAGGGGACAGGGGACACCGGCAGGGTGTGACAAAAGTGGGGACAGTTGGGGGGCAGCAGGGGACAGGGCTGAGGAGACAGGGGGCATGAGTGGGACACAAATGGGGGACAAAGTGACACAAAACTGGGGACACAAGAACTGCATGCAGCAGGACACGGGTGACCCAGGAGGGGACACAAGGAGACAGAAGTGAGGACAAATTTGGGGTTACAGTGACACAAAAAAGGACACAACAAGAGAGGGACGGGGACAAAAGTGGGGACACAACCAAGGACACAACTACAGTGCCATGGCCTCAAAATGGGGACAAAATGGTGACAAAACAGTGACAAAACCAGGTGACAACGATGTGAGGGACACAACAGGCACGGCCGGGTGTAGCAGGGACCCTGCTTGGGGTGTGTGGGGGCTCAGGTGTCACTGCACCCTCGTGCGGCAGTGTCACATGGTGTCGCGTGTCTGGCTGTGCCATGTGGGGCTGTGTCAGGCTGTACCTTTGGGTTGTACCTCAGACTGTGTCACATTTGTAACATTTTGTGTCACATTTTTCACATTTTGTGTCTGACTCTGCTGTGTGGGGCTGTATCAGGCTGTGCCTTTGGGTTGTACCTCAGACTTGGGACATTTTGTGTCAAATTTGTCACATTTGTCACATTTTGTGTCTGATTTTGCTGTGTGGGGCTGTGTCACGTTGTACCTTTGGGTTGTACCTCAGACTGTGTCAAATTTGTGTCACCTGTGGTGTCTGGCTGTGCCGTGCTCACACCGTGACCCGGTGACACCCTGTGATGTCACACCCTGTGATGTCACACCTTGTGTCACCCCTCCCCTGGTGACACGGAGGAAACTCCTCCCACTCCTGACCCCCAAAATCTCCCCTGCTCCCCAAATTTCTCCTTCTCTGTCCCCAAATCCCCCCAAACCCCTCTTGCTGCCCACAAAAACCCATTTTCCTTCCCCCCAATCCCCCTCTCTGCCGTTCTCCCCTCAAATTCCTCTTTCTTGCCATAATTATCCCCAAAACCTCCTGCTCCTCCTGGATTCCCCTCCCTGATCTCCAAACACCAAAATTCTCCATTTTTTTCTTCCATTTACATCCCCTAATCCTTCCTGCCCCTCTAAACTCTCCTCAAAAAGTTTTTTACTGCTCTAATTGTTCCCCCAAACCCGACTGCTACCCCAACACACCCCAAACCCCCGTCCTGCCCCGCTAAATCCCCTCCTTATCTGCAATTGCCCCCCAAACGCTCCTGCCCCTCTAAATGCCCCTTTCCTACCCCAATTATAACCCCACGCCTCTCCTGCTCTGCCAACAACCGTCAAGATTTTATTTGCGCCCCCAACCCCTTCTGCCCCCTCAGATTTCCATTTCCTGCTCCTGAAAGTCTCTTCCAATCCCGCTGCGCCTCGCCAAGCCCCTTCCCCAGCTTCCCTCCGGAACAGGCCGCAAAGCCTCGGCCTTTCCCAGCCGCCCCAGCCAGGTCGGGAGGGCCGGGAGCGGCCGGGCAGGGCGGGGGAGGCCGGGGCTGCGCAGGCCGCGGCTGGAGCAGCGCTTTGCCCATTGCCGGCACTTTCCGCCTTTGCTTCGGCATCTTTCGTCAGATATTCGGGTATTTCCGGTACTTTCCGCTCGTTCTTCGGCACCTTTCGATAACTTCCTCAAATGCTTCGGCCAGTTCCGGCTATTTCCGTCAACATTCGGGCACCGCCGGTTAACTTCGAGCATTTCCGTCACTCTCCGGAGGCACTTCGGCGGTCTCCGCCCACTTCCGTCAGTACTTCGGAAACCTCCGTCAATTTCCGCCAGCCCTGAGGTCACTCCGTCACCCTCCCTCCACCCCCGCCATCTCTCGGCACTCGGGCTCGGGGGGGGCGGCGCTTTTAAAATAAATTATTCATGAACCGATCCCACCGTGCTGGAAGCGGAGGGTGCGACCACGGCGCGTCCCGTGAGGGCTTCACGGAGCAGCCGCCGACTCCCTGCCCCTTCCCCGCTCCTCGCTCGCCTCACGGCCCGTGACGGGACTCGCGTCTTCCTTTCCTTCCCGCCACTTTTTTCCCCACTTTTCCCCCCTTTTTCCTGTGAGGCGCTTGGTACGCTCCGGCCACGCCCCCTCCGGCGGCGCGCGGGGGCCGAGTCTATATAAGGCGCCGCCGGTGCCCCATCGCGCTCAGTCGCGCCTTGAGCGCGGAGCAGCCGGAGCAAAAAAAGGGGAAGCTCCGCGCCCTCGGCTCCGTGAGGCGCCGGTTCCCGGCTCCCCGGTGGGGTTCAAACTCCCCGCTCCTTTCACCCCCTCCGTGAAGGGCTCGGTTCCGAGCAGTCGGAGCGGCGCGAGGCCGCGGCACCACCGGCGCCATGCACGGCGGTCCGCCCTCGGGCGACAGCGCCTGCCCGCTGCGCACCATCAAACGAGTCCAGTTCGGGATCCTCAGCCCCGATGAGATGGTACCGGGGCCGGGGCGGCGCGGACGGAACCGCGGGGCCCGCGGAGGGAGCGGGGCCGGCGGCTGAGGCCGAGAGCGGCGGCGGGAAATGGCGCCGGGGCAGCGAGAGCGGGGGAGCGGAGCGGCCCCGTGACGGGACAGCGCCCCCCACAGGCCCGGGGGGCTGAACGGGGGCCAGGAGAGAGCTCGGAGGGGGATTTGGGGGCTCCTCAGGGGGTTCGGGGACACAAAACGAGGTTCCGGGAGGTTTTGGGGTGCCCAGGGAGCCTCTGGAAGAGTTTTGGGGTGTCTGAAAGTGCCTCAGAATCCCCTGGCAGCGTTTGGCCTCCATAGGAACGGCTCAGGGAGCGTCGGAATGAGTTTTGGGGTGCCCAGGTGGCTTCGGGAAAAGTATTGGGGTGCCTTGAAGGGTTTTAGGGTGTCCTGAGGGGCTTTGGGTCTCTCGGGGTGTTTGTGAGGCCTTAAAAAGAGCTTCAGGCTGCTGTGAGGGACACTTGGGGTGCCTGGAGGTTTTTTAGGAGCATTTTTGACGAGATTGAGTGTCCTGGAGGGGTTTTGGGGTTCCTGAGAGTCACTCGGGGGCCCTGGAAGAGTTTTGGGGGTCCTGGAGGGGGTTTTGGGGTCCCAGGAGTTGCTCAGGGAGCCCTGATGAGATGTTTTGGGGTCCCTGTGAGTCGCTCAGGGATCCCAGGAGGAGTTTTGGGGGTCCTGGAGGGGTTTTGGGGTTCCTGGGAGTCGCTTCCTGGAGGGAGATTTTGGGGTCTCTTGAGAGTCACTCAGGGGGCCTTGGAGGGGTTTTGGGGTTCCTAGAGAGGTTTTGGGGTCCTTGGGAGTTGTTTAGGGAGCCCTGGAGGGGTTTTGGGGGTCCTGGAGAGATTTTGGGGTCTGTGGGAGTCGCTCAGGGAGCCCTGGAGGAGTTTTGGGGGTCCTGGAGGGGTTTTGGGGTCCCTCAGGGAGTTTAGGATTTTTGTGGGGGGCTCATGGATGAATTTGGGGGTCCCCAGTGCCTCAGTTTCCCTTCCCCCCCCCCCAGAAACGGATGTCGGTGACCGAGGGGGGCATCAAGTACCCCGAAACCACCGAGGGGGGGCGCCCAAACTTGGGGGCTCATGGACCCCCGGCAGGGCGTGATCGAGAGAACGGGGCGCTGCCAGACCTGTGCCGGTGAGCTTGGGGGCCTGAACCCCAAAATTCTCATTGAGGGGACCCCGAACCCCAAAATCCTTCTGGGAGAGGGGCCTGAACCCCAAAATTCTCATGGGAGGAGACCTTGAACCCCTAAACCCTCATTGAGGGGGACACTGAACCCCAAAATCCTTCTGGGAGGGAACCCTGAAGCACAAAATTCTCATGGGAGGGATCCCCCAAAATCTTAATGGGGGACCCCAAAGCTCCAAATCTTCACGGGGACCCCCTGAACCCCCAAATCTTCACACAAAGGGTCCTAACCCCCTAAAATTCCCTTTCTTGGGGGGGATTTATTTGTTTTGGGGTGTCCTTTTTTTAAGGGGTTCCCTTTTTGGGAGCTCTTCTCATTTTGGTTTTTAATTTTTTTGGGGTTTTCCTTTTTTTTTTTTTTTTTGATTTTCATTTTTTTGGGTGAATTTTTATTTTGCTTGGGATTTTCTTTTTTTTGGTGTTTTCATTTTTATTTTCTTGTTTTTTGGTATTTTGATGCTTTGGGGTGTTCTGTTTTTTTTTTGGGGGGGGGCTTTCCCATTTTTTGGGGTGCTCATTTTTATAGGATTTTTTTAGGATTCTTCCCCTCCCACCCCAAAACCGCATTCAAGGGAGGGTTCCCTACATCCCAACCCCTCCCAACCCAATTTTGGGGGGTGTCCCCAATCCAATTTCGGGGTGTCGCCAGGGAACATGACGGAGTGTCCCTGATGTGATTTTGGGGTGTCCCCAGCCCAATTTTGGGGTGTCCCTGACGTGACTTTGGGGTGTCCCCAGGCCAACACGATGGAATGTATCTGATGTGATTTTGGGTTGTCCCCCAATCCGATTTTGGGGTGTCCCTGACGTGATTTTGTGGGTGTCCCCAGGGAACATGACGGAGTGTCCCGGTCACTTTGGCCACATCGAGCTGGCCAAGCCCGTGTTCCACGTCGGGTTTTTGGGTAAAACCATGAAAATCCTGCGCTGCGTCTGCTTCTTCTGCTCCAAGCTGCTCGTGGACTCGGTGAGACCCCAAAAAACCCCAAAAACCCCTAAAAAACCCTAAAACCCCCCCAAAAAAACCCCCCAAAAACCCCCCAAAAAAAACCTCCAAAAACCCCAAAAACCCTTCTGCCCCCACAATGCCATTTCTGACCCCAAAATGCCATTCCTGACCCCAAACCTGGATTTTTTACCCCAAAACTCCATTCTTGCCCCCCAAAATGCATTTTTTACCCCCAAACCCCCACTCCTGCCCCCAAACCTGGATTTTTTACCCCCAAAACCCATTCCTGCCCCCAAACCCCCACTCCTGCCCCCAGAATGAATTTTTACCCCCAAACCCCCATTCCTGCCCCCAAAATGAATTTTTTACCCCCAAACCCCCATTCCTGCCCCCAAAATGAATTTTTTACCCCCAAACTCCCACTCCTGCCCCCAGAATGAATTTTTACCCCCAAACCCCCACTCCTGCCTCCAGAATGAATTTTTTACCCCCAAACCCCCACTCCTGCCCCCAAACCTGGATTTTTACCCCCAAACCCCCACTCCTGCCCCCAAACCTGGATTTTTTACCCCCAAACCCCCATTCCTGCCCCCCCAAAATGCTTTTTTTACCCCCAAACCCCCCTGCTGACCCCAGCCCCGCTTGTGTTTCCCAGAACAACCCCAAGATCAAGGACATCCTGGGCAAGTCCAAGGGGCAGCCCAAGAAGCGCCTGACGCACGTCTACGACCTCTGCAAGGGCAAGAACATCTGCGAGGGCGGCGAGGAGATGGACCACAAGTTCGGCGTGGAGCAGCCCGAGGGCGACGAGGACCTCACCAAGGAGAAGGTGGCGCCCCCAAAATCCCCCTTTGTGAACCCAAAATTCTCTCTGTAGCCCCGAAATTGCCATTGGTTGGCCCCAAAATTCACATTTGTGGCACGAAATTCCCGTTTGTGGCCCCAGAATTCTCATTTGTGACCCCAAAATCCTCGTTTGTGGCACGAAATCCCCATTTGTGGATTCCTATATGTGGCCCCAAAATCCTGTTTGTGACCCCAAATTCAGTTTGTAGCCCCAAAATTCCCGTTTGTGACCCCAAAATTCCCATCTGTGGCACAAAATTCCCATGTTGCGGCCCCAAAATTCCCATTGTGCTCCCAAAATTTCTATTTTGGCCCCAAAATTCTCATTTGTGACCCTAAAACTTCTGTTTCTGCCTCCTTTTCCCTGTTTTCCCTTCTCAGGGTCATGGCTCTTTGCCAACCCTAACAATTCCCCTTTTTCCACCTCTTTTCCCCATTTTCAACTCCAGTAATTATCCTTTTTCTCCCCCCTTCCATCTCTTTTTCCCATGTTTAACCCCAATAACCCCCATTTCTCCCCCATTTTTTAACCCCATTTCTCCCCCATTTCTCCCCCATTCTCCCCCCATTTCTCCCCATTTTAGGGCCACAGCAGCTGCAGGTGCTACCAGCCCGTTATTAACCCCATAATAACCCAAATAATTCCTATTTTTCCTCCCAATGACCCCATTTTTAACCCCATTAAACCCCATTTTTAGCCCCATTTTTAACCCATTGAACCCCATTTTTAACCCATTAAATGCCATTTCAGGCACGGGGGCTGTGGGCGGTACCAGCCGCGCATCCGCCGCTCGGGCTGGAGCTCTGTGCCGAATGGAAACCCCCAATAGCCCCAATTTTAACCCCGTTTTTTAACCCAAATAGCCCCATTTTTAACCCATTAAACCCCGTTTTAACCCATTAAACCCCATTTCTCCCTGTTTTTAGGGCCACGGGGGGGCTGCGGGCGTACCAGCCGCGCATCCCGCCGCTCGGGGCTGGAGCTGTACGCCGAGTGGAAGCACGTCAACGAGGACTCGCAGGAGAAGAAGATCCTGCTGAGCCCCGAGCGCGTGCACGAGATCTTCAAGCGCATCTCGGACGAGGAGTGCTTCGTGCTGGGCATGGACCCCAAGTTCGCCCGGCCCGAGTGGATGGTGTGCACCGTGCTGCCGGTGCCGCCGCTGTCCGTGCGTCCGGCCGTGGTCATGCAGGGCTCGGCCCGCAACCAGGTGGGTTTGGCGTGGTTTTTGGGGTCATTTTGTGGGGTTTTGGGACTGTTTTGGGGTGATATTGGGGGTGTTTGGGGGCACGGTGCTGCCGGTCCCGCCGCTGTCCGTGCGTCCGGCCCGTCGTCATGCAGGGCTCGGCCCGCAACCAGGTGGGGTTTGGGGTGATTTTAGGGAGTTTTGGGGTCATTTTGTGGGGGTTTTGGGGGCATTTTGGGGTGGTATTGGGGTCCCTGGGGCATTGTACCCGTGCTGTCTGTGTCCCCAGCCATGGTCATGCAGGGCTCTGCCCACAGCCAGGTGGGGTTTTGGGGTGATTTTAGGGGATTTGGGGGTCATTTTGTGGGGTTTGGAGTGTATTTGGGGTGGTATTGGGATCCCTGGGGGCATTGTGCCCAGCCGTGGTCATGCAGGGCTCTGCCCACAGCCAGGTGGGGTTTTGGGGTGATTTTAGGGGGTTTTGAAGTCATTTTGTGGGGTTTGGAGTGTATTTGGGGTGGTATTGGGATCCCTGGGGCACTGCCCACAGCCAGGTGGGCACTGGGGCAGCTTTTGTGGGGTCCCAGGGTGGGTTTTGGGGTCCCTGATGCCTTTTGGGGTCTCCCCACTTCTTACGGTCCCCAATCCTCTTTTGGGGTCACCCCCAACACTCTTTGGGGTTTCCCCATTTTTCTCCCACCCCAAGCCCACCCCTCCACCCTTCCCACGCCCCTTTGGGTCATTCCCACCTCCCTCCATCGACCCCAACCCCATCCTCCATGAACGAATTTTGGGGTCCCCCCCACCATGTTGGGGTCACCTCATGGATTTTGGGGGCGTCCCCAGGATGACCTGACCCACAAGGCTGGCCGACATCGTCAAGATCAACAACCAGCTGCGGCGCAACGAGCAGAACGGGGCGGCCGCGCACGTCATCGCCAGAGGACGTCAAACTGCTGCAGTTCCACGTGGCCACCATGGTGGACAACGAGCTGCCCGGCCTGCCCCGGGTACAGCAGGGGTCCCCAGGGGGGTTTTGGGGGTCACTGAGGGGTTTTGGGGGGTCACAGGGGGTTTTGGGGGGTCACTGAGGGGTTTTGAGGGGTCGCTGAGGGGTTTTGGGGTGACACAAGTTGAGGGACATTCAGGGTGGTGGTCCCATGTCAAGTGGCTCCAGGTCCACGTGGGCCCCATGGTGGACAAGGAGCTGCCCAAGGTCCAGGAGAGTCTGGGGGGGTCACTGAGGGGTTTTGGGGATCACTGAAGAATTTTGGGGGTGTCCCAGACATGACAGAGAGGGGACAAACAGGCACAGAGCCCAAAGTCCCAGCAGGACCTGGGGGACATTCCCAGGAGGGATCAATTTATGTCCCTTGGTGGATTCTGGATTTTTGGGGTGACTTTTGGGGTTCTGATCCCCCAGTTTCTCCTCACCCAGTCCATGCAGAATTTGGGGGATCCCCCAAATGTATTTTCCTCCATGAACCCCAAGAAGAACCCAGGGTGATCCATTCATGTTCCCTGGTGGATTCTGGATTTTTGGGGTGGCTTTTGGAGTGATTTTGGGGGTGTTTTTGGGGTGGTTTTTGGGGTGTTTTTTGGGGGTGATTTTTGGGGTGATTTGGGATGAATTTTGGGATGATTTTTGGAGTGATTTTGGGATGAATTTTGGGATGATTTTTGGGGTGATTTTGGAGTTCTGACCCCCCAATTTCTCCATCCCAGGCCATGCAGAAGTCGGGGCGCCCCCTCAAGTCGCTGAAGCAGCGGCTGAAGGGGGAAGGAGGGTCGAGTTCGGGGCAACCTCATGGGCAAACGCGTCGACTTCTCGGCCCGCACGGTCATCACGCCCGACCCCACAACTGGCCATCGACCAGGTGGGCGTGCCGCGCTCCATCGCGGCCAACATGACCTTCGCCGAGATCGTCACGCCCTTCAACATCGACAGGTGGCACTTATGGGGCATTTATGGGGCGTTTATGGGGTTTGGGATGGGTTTGGGGTGGGATTTATGGGGTTTGGGGTGGATTTATGGGGGTTTGTAGGGGGTTTGGGATGGGATTTATGGGTGGTTGGGGATGAAGTTATGGTGGTTTGGGATGGGATTTATGGAGGTGTGGGATGATGTTATGGAGGTTTGGGATGGATTTATGGGGTTTGGGATGAGTTATGGAGGTTTGGGATGGATTTATGGAGGTTTGGGATGGATTTATTGGAGGTTTGGGGGTGGGAGTCTTCTGCTCCATCGCGGCCAACGTGACCTTCACCGAGATCGTCACGCCCTTCAACGTCGACAGGTGGGATTGAGGATGCATTTATGGGGCATTTATGGGGTTTTGGGTGGATTTATGGAGGTTTGGGAGGGTTTGGTGTTGGTGTTCCTCTCTTCATTGCCACCAACGTGACCTTCACCGAGATCGGTCACCCCTTCAACATCAACAGGTGGGATCAGGGATGGATTTGTGGGGTTTGGCATGGGTTTGGGATGGATTTATGGGGTTTGTAGGGGATTTAGGATGGATTTATGGAGGTTTGGGGGGGATTTATGGAGGTTTGGGATGGAGTTACGGAGGTTTGGGATGGGATTTATGGGGTTTGTAGGGGATTTGGGATGGATTTATGGAGGTTTGGGGTGATTTAGAGGGAATTTGAGGGGTTTGGTGTGTGGTGTTCCTCACTTCATTGCCACCAATGTGGACCTTTGGTGGGATCCTCACCCTCTTCAACATCAACAGGTGGGGTTTGGGGGGTTTCTAGGGGATTTGGGGGTTTGTAGGAGATTTACGGGGTTTTGGGATGGATTTATGGGGTTGGTGTTGGTGTCCTCTGCTCCATCACCATCACCGTAACCTTTGGTGACATTGTCACCTTCAACAGCAACTGGAGGAGTCTGGGGAGGATCTGGGGGACTTTGGAGCAGATTTTGGGGTGAATTTGAGATGTCTGGTGCGGTTGGAGGGTTCTGAGGGTGTTCAGGGAATTTAAGGGTTAAATTAACGGGATTTTGGGTTTTTTGAGGGCTTTTAGGATAAATCTGGGGGCAGTTTTGGGGATGATTTTGGACTATTCAGGGAACTTCGGGGTCATTTTTGGGGGTTTCAGGTGGACACAGGGATATAGGGTGGAGGATTAGGATTATTTCAACAGATCCAAATAATCCAAACCCACCCCAAACACCTTTAACCCTCACTGCTCCTTCTCCAGCTGGCCCTGAGTTGTGGGGTGGCTCCCAGAGCCCCAAAACCCCCTAAATTCACCCCAAAATCCCCTAAATTGACCCCAAACCCCCCTCAGGCTGCAGGAGCTGGTGCGCAGGGGGAACAGTCAGTACCCGGGGGCCAAGTACATCATCAGGGACAACGGGACAGGATCGACTGCGCTTCCACCCCAAGCCCAGCGACCTGCACCTGCAGATCGGATACAAGGTCAGCACCCCAAAAACCCAATCTGGGGGACCCCAAAACCCAAAATCCCCAAATCTGGGGGACCCAAAAACCCCAAAATCCCCAAATCTGGGGGCACCCAAAACCCCAAAAACCCAAACCCAGCGACCCTGCACCTGCAGATCGGATACAAGGTCAGCACCCCAAAAACCCAAATCTGGGGGACCCCAAAACCCAAACCCAGCCACCTGCACCTGCAGATCGGATACAAGGTCAGCACCCCCAAAACCCCAAATCTGGGGGACCCCAAAACCCCCAAAATCCCCAAATCTGGGGGACCCCAAAACCCCAAACCCAGCCACCTGCACCTGCAGATCGGATACAAGGTCAGCACCCCAAAAACCCCAATCTGGGGACCCCAAAACCCCCAAACCCAGCCACCTGCACCTGCAGAATCAGGTACAAGGTCAGCACCCCAAAAACCCCAAATCCCCAAATCTGGGGGGCACCAAAAACCCCAAACCAGCCACCTGCACCTGCAGATCGGAACAGGTCAGCACCCCAAAACCCCAAAATCTGGGGGACCCCAAAGCCCCAAA